GTAAAGCAATTAAATTTAGAATAAATACAAAATTAGAATATTAGAATATTGTTTTTCACACACGGAAAATGGCATATACAATGTTATCGATGTTAAGTGCCCATTTAGGAAACCCAATAAAAATGTGTTCAATTTGCTATAATCATTAGCTATGTATATATATATATATATATATATATATATATATATATATATATATATATATATATATATTGTTGTACATAGAGTTACAAATCCATCAATATTTGTTATTCTTAACAGGAAACAATTCATTGTTAAATTATTACTGACAATGATAATGGATTGATAAAGGCAGAGAATTGTACATAAGTATATCAAAATTAGGAGCAAAAGAAAGATATGCCTGCTATATGAGACATTAAAAACGTTATATAACTAATTATGCATCTTTCTATTCCTTGGGCTGTCAGAAGAAGAGATGTTTGAGGAAATAGCCACATCATTAGCAGAAGTAATAGGAATAATAGGTTTGGAAATAGATGTACTTAATATAGAAATACTTTGATTAACTCAATTTTTTATTTAATTCTGGTTGCAGTGAGAAGTACAAAAAGATACTAACTTAAAAGTGAGACTAAAATAATAGGTGACACTTTGCAGTTGTATGCTAGTAAGCAAATAGCTAATAAATTATAAATGAACTGCATTGCTTTAAGGAGACAATCATTCAGGCAGTTATATAAGCTGCTAACAAAGAGATGCAGAATAACAAATAAAAAACATTGGTTGTAAAAATTGTCTGCATTTTAGGTTAATGAAAATATACCTTTGATACAGCAAAATAAAGTGCTGTGTAGAATTGCCTAAAACCAAAATATTTAATAACTGTCTCCTTATGAAAATTAGCACCTGACACCTAAGTATTATTAGAAATTGTTTTGTAATTATTCAGTCTGAGAGGAAAGCTGTCAGTGAATTTGTTTTACAGATGCTTGCTTCATCTTATTTTTATTGACACTACATTGATATAAGTACAAACAACTAATTTGATTAACCTCTTCTAGTTTGATAAATGAGATTAAAGTAACAAGATTGAGTTGAAAGCAAAACAATTTTTTGTGCATTACATGTTGGTCCAGTTAATTCAGTAAAAGATCTTTTCAGAAACATGGATTAAAAGAAACAGAACTTTCTACTGAGGGGTGGGTGGAAGACTGTTACTTTTCATTAAAAGATTTTATTTTCCATTTTCATATACTGAATTGATATGCTTGATTATGATATGCTTATAAAAGCTTTGATCATTTTTAAAAGGAAAACATTAAACTGGAAATGTTAAATCTATTACTACAGATTATAATTAGCAATTATTTCGCAATATACTATTTGAAATTATGAAATTATACAATGATTTAATTCATTCATTCTTGAACTTTTCTTCTCCAGCACATATTTTCTGATATTAGACATGGGTTAGCATATGCTACATTAAGATTACATTAGTAAATTCAGCATATTTAATGAAATGGTTTTATGTTTTTTACATTTTTTTTATTCATGATAATAGCATCAGTAACTATAGATATAAGCTGTGGTGGGAACAATCAAACAGTGGTCACCATTACAGAGAATAGAAACTGCTAGACTTTAGTTTTAAGTTTTTTTATCTCTATAAATATATATTGCAATTGCATTTGTTTAAAATTACTCTAAAATATAAATATATATGCAAGAAAATAAATATATACATAAAATGTTGTGACTTGTTTCAATCATGTTTAAAACAGTTAAATCATCTTTTACTGTTCTCTTAAAATTATTGTAACTCTATAATTCTTCTGAAAATTACTGCCACCCCCACCTTAAGGGTTCATAAAGGCCCCAAGAGAGCATTATTCACCATATTGAAAAGGGCTGATTTAATGTATAACCAACCCCCAAAAAATAAAATCGCAATAAATTGCAAGTTTCATTATGAATCAATTATTCTTACTAAAAATAAAACTGAAATTTATCTTGCCAGGAAATAGAAAGAAAAATAGGGTACTTCTATAGTTTAGAAAACTGTAAATATGCAATAGTATATAGTTGGCATGAAATACTTGCTCAAGATTTATATCAAGCTTGAATTAAAGCAAATAGTGGCATCAAGTCTGGTAAAACAATTGAAATATTTACTAGAAAAGCTACACATTATTTGCTGCTAAATTTTCATATTGCATACAAACTTTTAACAAAAATGCAGAAAAAATCTATTACAATTTTTGAAAATTTCAAAAGAATGACAAACACGCATATACAATTCAAGCAATTTTATATAAGCATAAAAACTTACAAGAAGAAATCCAACATTTACAATACAGCATAAACATTTACTGAGTATATTTTATGTTTTGGCACAAAAGTCAGGGAATGGAGAGAATAAGCTTAAGAGTGGAAATGCATATTCTTACAGAATTTACAATACTATAGAAATATGTATTGGGGGACTAGTATCAGATTTGGCACATGAATTGTAAGTGAATAGAAAATCAGCTGAAGGAGCAAAAGAAAATATCTACTTCATAGAGTTTTTATAGAAATGAGAGACAACAAATTCCAATAAAATAGCACCATAAAAGGCACTTAAGAAGAAAAATTACATTTTTAATATTTTGTTTGGAATTTCTATGATGGCTATTTCAATTAATATTTTTGTCAGTACTTAAATAATACCAGATTTCTGTTGGCATATTTGTTTTCTTTGGTAGTTTAGATCTATTTTTATAGATTTTTCTATTTTCAGATTTTATTTTTGTATGTAAATTTTTAACTTCTCTGTTGATTCAGAAATTTTCAAGGGCAAAAAGATGCTGTCTGAGAATTGCATTTAACAAAAAAAAATAGTTTTTATGATAGAAATTAAATTGTTTATTTGCTTAATTAATAAAATACATTTATTTAATCTCTTAAAAAAGTAATATAACTTTATTATATTTGAATATTTTGTTAATAATAAATTCCAAAAATTACCTACTACTGTTTTCCTATAAACCATCAAATGAAAGAATAATCCTGTAAATATCAACTCTGATTATATTTATTTTGCCATACACTTTTTTCCTCATAGAATTTATGAATTACTTAATTTCAAGAAATTGATCTAATTAAGAGGGTTGTTCTATTTTGGAATCAAAATATGAAATCACTTTATTTCTGATTTAAAATTTCTATCCCTACAGCCAAATGATATAGCAAAATATTTAACCAGATTTTACAAAAATATTTCCTTTTCTATTAATGTCATTTTTGCTGTATATATTCTATAAATATTTGGACCTGGATTGTTTTAGGTCCCCTTCAAGTGACACAATATTGGTAAGTCTTGAACTGTGATTATGAAATAATATTATTCATCATTGAAACTGACTGTTTAGCTTTCAAGTGTACTAAAAGTTTTATAATTATGACCTCTTAATATTTCCAACAGGGGATATATGCCTGGGAAAAAAATGAAACATTATTGTCTGAAACAATTTAGAATAACCTGGCCTAAAACTCAACTTTTGATGATTTACCAGTCTTCCCAAATGTAAAAATAAAAGCAATTAATCAATTTGGAATTTTAAAACAAGCAGGTAAAAATTATATGTTTAAGGCTTATATTACTACTGGAAAGTAATAAAGACACATCATTGTATTTTCTGTCCATGAACTGATATTTAAATTTATATATTGTAACAAAAATTTGTCTTACTTTTGAATAATTTATAATTAATAACTATGAGTCTTAAATCTAAAGACAATTTAATGCATGATGATAGATGTAAAGATAAGATAAATATTAGATTATGTTTTGTCATTAAAACAATTACATTTGTACAAAAAGTAAATATACTTTCAGAAATAACATCTAAGAGAGTATAAAAGTTTATTTTCTGAGGTTAAATATAAGAATTTCTAAGACGTGTTAAAGTATTTATATTTCTAGTGAACTAAAAGCAAATTAAACTTTTTCCCTGTGAAGGTGATTAAGTTAGTATAATTTAGACAAATTTGCAGCTCTTTGAAATTGAAAGCTGTAATGATTTGCAAAGTGATGCTATTGAGCAATAAATTCATTAAAGAGCACTCATCATGATAAACTCAAGAAGAAATTCTGGATCAACACTCAGCAAATAAGACTGTCATTGCTGAGCTACCAAAAGATGTGCCCATGGATTTGGGGAGTTAAGAACAATATGAACTGATGGAGGACAGTCATATTAACTGACTGTTATTTAGTTTTTTGGTCTAATTAGCTCATATTTGGTCTGTCCTTTAGCTGATAAAACTCGGTTTGTATGTGAACTGTTATAAAGATGCAATAAAATAAGAAAACTGTAGAAATTCTGGTTCCTAAAACTCCCTTACAACTTAGAAATCAGGTGAACTGAGGAAGCATAATCCTGTCTGCTAGAATTTAGTCATTGTTTCTACAGAAGCAGCCAATTTATTTTAATATTTTTACAAGCATCTTTTTGGGGAACTAATACATCCAAAACCAGTTTCATCATTCATGATGTCAATGAATAAATATTCTGAATCACTGCATGCAAAAAGTAAATTCTCTCTTCATTTTAAAATTGTCATCTATCTGTGTTTAGAGGATATTCAAATTAGAAAGCAAAATTTGTATTATAACTTGTAAAAATAGAAGATATTTATAATGTATTTTCTTTAAATAGATGAAAAAGGTTGATAAATTTAAAAATAGAAAAAAACCTTTTGCCATCATCTTTCTTCATTCAGGAACCTAAACTGGTTGGATGTTAGCCTTTCTTTTAAAAAATAACAGACAAATATGGCTTCCCCAAAAGTAAAGAGTTTATTCAATAAAGCTGTCTTGTCCCTTTCTGTTGACATGAAGTCAAGCTCCATCATTTCAACCAAAATTGCTTTAGCTCCTTTCCAAATTATTTTAAATACTACATGGGGAGAAATTGACAACTAGGGAAAATAATTGTTCCTACATTATACAATGCTTCTGCTCTAACTGGTAATCCACTTTATCCCTCTACCATGGCAATGACTTCTTGCATACACCTGCACTGAAACATAGATAGGTACAATATGCTATAACCAAACGTAGAAAATAAAAATCATTACACATTCATACTTTCAATTAAAAGACAATTAAAAAACATGTACTCAGACAAAAGCACAATTTGTATGAAAAGAAAAATTTACAGAAATAATGAAATTTATTAAAAATATATTAAGAAAATGGAAAAATATAAAAAAATAAGTAGAAATAGAAAGATTGAAATAATTTTGTTCAACATCATCATCAATAACATTATTATTATTATTATTGTAGTTATCTTCATATTTATCATCATCATTATCATCATCATCTTTAATGAAATGATCATAATTTTAGACATTTTTATCAGTTTGAATACTGTTTTGCTGTGACCATCTTATGTTTAGGATGAATATTTCTGATAACAGTTATTCAGATAGCTATAAAGATTTAAAATATCTAAATGCTGCTTGTCAAGTAGATAATTTTGTTTGAAATGGAATTTGTAATTTTAAAAAAGTATTGCTTAATCTGCCTTTATAATTGAGAAAAGGTGATTTTCATGAGATATCATTTAATAAATTTGCCTTCAAACTCATAAAAGGTCATTATCTAGTTCTTAATTTTTATTTTATACTTTGAACAGAATTGTCATAATCTGACTCTGTTTTACATATAAATGTAAAATAATGAAGTCCTCTTGAATTTATTACTGATCATGCCAACATGCATCTACTGGTTTTCTACATGTGATAATTGTAATTAACAAAAGTGAATTTGACTAAAACTACGCTAGAACAAGGGAAAGAAAAAATTGATATAACAGTTGACATCATTAACACTCAGAAAGAAGTATATGAATCAAAAAAAGGTAAATGTTTTTAGAATTAATATTTATAGTTAACATTCATTGAGGGAAAATAAAAAAAATAAAAGAAAATATATCATTGATGTCATTTTGTATTGAATTCAAACAATAGTAATAACATTATGAAAATAATGGCATTAACAAAATAATGACAATAATAATTGTGAAAATAATGATTGGGATGGATGCCATAACATTTAAAAAGAACAGTAGGAACAAAGTTCATGCTTGTCATCTAAGTTATTACTCAAACATAAAATGCCATGTTAGATATAACATACAAGAAAATATTGTTACATTTTTAAGATGTAAAATGATTCAGTTTAGTAAACTATTGGTTCTAGCAATATTCAAGATAAACATTTATAGCCATATCATGCATCACTGAGAAAATTGATTAAATCACATGGATATAATATGGTATTGAGCACAAAATCAAAACTAAATATATTTGGGATTTCCTGCAAAAAATAAAGTTATTTAGATGTCACATGACTAAGATGATTTACAAGTACAATTATATAATAAAATCTGCTAAATTAACTTAGCTATATTGCCAGCATAGCTAAGGAAATTACAATAAAGAAAAATAAGATATGGAATTATGAATGATTGAATTGTAGAGCCATGAAAATACAAAGAAAAAATACATTTTCATTTCAAAGGCAAAAATATCTACTGAATTCATGCACCAGTGTCAAGAAGTACATATGTGTGACAAATTTTGTGCATTTAGTTAAGAAATCAAATTGTTTCTTCTATGTATAATATCTATAGTGAATAAAATCTATTTCATTATAATCATTATATTTCTAACTCCAATAATAATAATAATAATGGCTCACATGGCTTCTGATCTCAAATGAATGAAGGCATTAATGTGTGCATGTTTTATCTTAGAGTAGTAAGATGGGATACAGTAGATATCCCATTTAATAGCATAGAAGTGCTTCTCAGTTGCTGGACCTGAAGTAGTTGGGCATGTCTCTTAAAGGCAGTCAAAGTGACTTGGGAGTGATTTCTTTCTAGATACTTGGGAACACCTTCAATTAGAGAATGTCTGAGCAGGTTAGGTTACTAAACCTGAAGATAATTTCTAACTGAGTCCCTCACCTACAAAAAATTATACACTGCTTTTATCAAAATCTATCACCAAGTCACATGCATTTGGCTGTGATGCATGTGTGTGTTATCCTCTTATTCAGACTGGGTGTCATGATGGCTTTGTACATTTGTATCTCAGCATCACTTTGTTGGTATGCTATTCTCTCACATAATAATAAATTAGGCAATATACATACACACACAGATGAACTATATACATGAATATATATGTGTACATAGCTATATATTTGGTCACATTATTGTGTTTCTATTTTTACACACAAACACACATGTGTATGCGTTTTTTTGTTTTTAATTAATCAGTGATATAGCTACTTAAAATTAGGATTTTAGAAGAGAATTAAAAAAATGTTGGTACCAGCAAGATTTCAAAGAATATCATACAATCTTTTATAAAAATTAATATTCAATGAAAGTGAGTTATAGACTTTGATAATGGTTTTCATTACACAAATAAACAATACTGTGTGTGTGTGTGTATATATATATATATATATATATATATATATATACATGTACATGTTCTTGCTTAAAACACAAATACAAATAAAATATAAATCACACATACATAGCAGTAGATCACTAAGTATATTATCTAATTAGAAAAAAGCTTTTATTTTACACAACAAATATTTATTCTTCAACATAATCACTTAATTTTTTAAATAAGTGGTGAATATTAATTACATAGACTGAACATTTACAGTGAAGATGTCAGATAAAAATTCAGCTAATAACTACATCTTCCTTCTGGATATGTATAAATTATATATGAATATTACATGTATATAAAGAACTTTAAATATTTCATTATTCTTTCTATCTTTTCATTATTAAAAATGCATTTATTTTAATGATAACACTAAATTATAAAGGTTATAAATTTCACTTAAAATTTATTTTTTAATTTTTTTTCAGTTTTAACTAACATTAAAGTACATTTCTAATTTAAAATTCTCTTTGGGCTTTTATACAAATCCAGGTAAGATAGAAAAACTTAAACTTTACGACATTTAAGTTAAACATTTTCTGTTCCTGAATGACTTGAAAGGAATTTAAAGTATCAGCTGTGTATATCCTAAAGTTTTCACATTAAGTATATTTTCTGCTAAAGTAAAATTTGTTGAAGTCATGGAAATTAATATATTTCAAATAAAAATAACTTTAAGCCATATACTTAGAGTATATGAAGAAGAGAAGAAAATAATTTATTAATTAATTGATGTACAGCAGGAAAGTTTCAGAAACTGAAATGTATTAAATTCCTCAAATCTATGTTTACTTTTGTAGCTTCCACTATGGAAGAAAGTCTGAAAATCTGTACTTATAAATGAATAGACATTTCATTAGTTCTTGTGCTTATATATGGATCTGGTTTTCAAGAATAAGCATTGATAAAATCAGTTAATGTAGGTACAATGACATACTATCAAATGACTGTATAGTATTTATTGAGAGAGCATTAATAAATTTCCCTTTAACTGTATTTGAACTAATGGATGGTCTCATAGATACACTGTTATGGATGTAGAGAATAAAACTTTTCAAAAGTAAATTAAACAAATCATAGTTGATTTGTAGAAAGAGGATTAAGAAAAAAAATTTTTAGATCCAAAAGTATTAATTTTGTTTCTAATAAACGCAAAAGGATGATTGTTTGTTTGTTTGTTTGTTTATATATATATATATTACATGAAATAAGGTATAATATAGGTAGCAAGAATTAATTTAACCAAGCTTAATTAAATTCAACCAAGATCTGTCTGTTTAATTTTTTATTGTATTTTTCCAATTTTTGAATAAGTTGGTACAAGAATGTGTGCGCATGTGTATTTACAGAAAGAGAAAAATGGATGGAGAAGCAAATAAATGGATAGGATATTTTAGGGTTGAGTGAATTAATTATTGTTTTAAGAAACTCATCATAATCACCATGATCAGGCAGAAGTTGTGTTTAGGTGTGTTTGTGCTTATTGGGGAGATTAATTCTTTCACAATGACATAATGCCATGTGGAAGTGTGAAGTGAAAATTGGAAAATAATGATCTCGCACTTAATTGCATAATGGTTGTGATCTATAAAAGATTACAAATATTATAATGAGGACATGACAGGAAAACTACACACGAGAAAAGGATCTCCTGTATCTCTAATTAGGACAGCTATTGATTTGAGCAATGTCAAATTATCTCATTTTTTTACAAAAAAGACTAAAGCATTCTCTATCTAGATATATTTATTTTATTAACCAAATAATGTGGCATCTAGTGAAAACAAACCCAATACTATCTATAGCAGTGTTTCTCAACCATTGTTGCACTGAACCCTAGGGTTCTGCAAGTAATCACTAGGGGTTTCATGAGAAACAGTGATCAATAGGCTAATGCATTTTTGAGTAAATTTTGTTTAATTTTATATATGTAATTTTACTATACATGTATGACATTTTGTTGGAAAATCCTTGGTTATTATAATTATAATGATATTGGTTATTTACATTTATTTTTTTGTGAATGAAAAATTCAGTATGAGGTTTCATAAACGAGCAATGTGATTATTTTTTGTACTGCCAATAAATTTGACAAAAAAGGTGTCATTTTTTCCTAGTTATCCAAAAAATATATATATTATGCTTACCACATGAACTATCATAAAAATATAAAAGGGATAGATATTAATAATGGTATATAATAATTTTTATGTAAGGGTTCCCTGACACATGAAAACGATTTCAAGAGTTTCACAAAGGTAAAAAAAAGCTGAGAAATGCTGATCTATAGTAAAGGGTGCTGACAAATTTTTAGGCCAAACCACTTTCCAAAATCAGTACTTCAACAATCAAATATCAGAATTCTTTTGGAAAGTTTAAAGAAATTTGAGAAATGATATGCCAAGTGCATTCAACTATAGGATGAATATATGTAATAGCATGTACATGCTATGGCTCTAGGCCATTCTTCCTGATTGGGCTGAAAAATTCAGCATGTCCTCATACATTATGTGTATATATATATATATATATATATATATAT